CTCTCCTGACCCGCCCGCTGCTCCCCTCAGCAGTGCACTTCATCAGTCGGCCTGTTCTGCTCCCCACTCTGCCTCTGGTGATCCGCTCACCACCCTTGCACCTCTGGCTTGTACCCCAGTTCTGTATGCATAAATAACTAGATCTTTAAAAAAAAAAATCATTTCTATCCACTACAAAAAACTTCAAATAGAGCAAAGTTCACAGAATTTCATGTGAACACTTCTAATCGCCCATACCAGCTCAAACACTTTGCTATACTTACTTTATCACATATCTGGCCATGTCCATCCATCTAGCCAGCCATCTCACTGCTGATGCCATTCAAAGTCAACTGTGAACAATAATTTGGTAGGAGTATCATTAACTAGAGGTCAAAATTGGCTTAGGTTTTATTCTTTTAGTATAGAAATTTAAACACAGTGAAATATACAAATTTCAAACACATATTCACAGCTTTGCATACACCTATATATTCTAAACCCTTAACATAGAGTACTACCATCATTCTAGAACATTCTGATGACCCTGCATGCAACCCAGGCAATTTCTGCTGTTTGTTTTCTACCTGATAGGCTGTGTTGGACTCTCCTGGAGGCTACTGCAGTAGCTTCCCCAGTTGAGGTCTGAGGATCACTCTAAGTCAGACAGAATAAAATGTGGCCCATCTGCATTCCTACCCACCCATGAATGGTGTACACTACACCCTTATAGAACTGCAAACAAGGAAGCACTACATTCACCTGGCCCCAGCTTCTGTGAGGACAGTGATTTGAAAAGCCCTCCATTCAGGACTTCTTTTCTCCCTTCAGGATTAAAAATTAAAGCCACAAAACCTACTATAAAGGTAATGTTCAAATCTAAATTTAAAAAAGTAACTGCTTAACAAAAATTGAATTGGCTAGCAAGAGAGGAAAGTTAAAAAAAAAAAAAAAAAAGACCCAACTGGGCCCTCCCTGGTGGCGCCAATGGGTTAGAGTACCCTGCAAGCTGGCCCACAGAGGTGACCCACAGAGTGCGGCAGACCTTTTCTGACCCACCCGCTGCTCCCCTCATTAGTGTACTTTGAGGATCTGCCTGTTCTGCTCCCTACTCTGTCTCTGGTGAAGCCTCTCAATGCCCCTGCACTCCAGCCTGTACCCCAGCTCTTTATGCACAAATAAATGAATCTTACAAAAAAAAGAAGTTAAAGAACCTGGGTCTGAACCAGGAACTGACACATCTGTGTTTATTTTCTTAAGATTTATTTATCTATGCATACAGAACTGGGGTACAGATTAAGAGGTGTAGGGGGGAAAAGGGGTGGGTGAAAGGATCCACTAGAGAGTGGGGAGCAGAACAGACTGACCTACTGAAATACACTGCTGAGGGCAGCAGCCAGCGAGAGAGGAGAGGTCTGCCCAGCCATGTGGGTCACCTCCCTTGCCAGGGATCACACTTCTGTTGACGGGGCCGTAGCCAGCTTCACAGCGCTGTGCTTCAACCCGTTGTGCCACCAGCAAGGGCCCCACATCTATTTCTAAAGACACAAAACCAGCACACCAAAGAATTTACTTTTGTCTCCAACATATGACATTTCAGGCTATCTTGTATTACCCAGGCTGGCCCGCTCAGCAATGTAACATGCCTTATCTGAGCACGTGGACACGCACCTGGCTGTACAAGAACCTTGTCTTCCCCACCCCCTGCACAGCAATTTTCAGGGACAGTATATTGTGTGTGTGCACACACACAAGCACGTCTGTACTCCTGCATGTTGGGGAGGCCTGGATGTATATGGAAGTTCCGGGGGTCCAGTCCAGTATGTCCAAGGTCAGCTCTGTAAATGCTCTAGAGCCCCACTGGGGCCCAGGCACAGCCCAGGAGGAAGATGGGAGAACCCCTTCGCAGGTTCAGGGCCTGGCTGCCCGTTTCCCTGATAGGACAGGCAACAAGAAGCCAGAGGAGCCAGCACCTCCCAACTGTCCCCTCCTCCTGGTTCCACATTAGATGGAAAATGCCCCACTGTTGACCACGAAACCCTCCCCCTCACCATGAAACTGAGAAGCAAGCAAAATTAAAAGATGGCCCAGTTCACCTCAGGTCCAAAGATGAAACACAGGAAACAGTCTAGACTCTGCTGATCCACAGGGGTAACTACCACTTGGGGGCGTTCAGGTACTTATGAGAGAGCTAAAATAAATGAAGGAACATGGTAGCAGCCTGTCTTAGGTTGCAGGATGCCTCTGAGGGCTTTGTGACGCTAGGCGGGCCTGGGAGGCAAGGCGGGGTTGGCAGAGGGGGATCGTCTCTTGAGCTGATGGGAAGGGGGCCACAGGTAGGAAGGGTCAAAGAAATGGAACTTCTCTCAGCAAACACAAGTGGTCTCTGTCTACTAGGTGTTCGACGAGACCTGAAACTCCAGATCTCACACACTACCTCATTCGTGCCAGCTCTAAGGCAAATGAAGCCTTTTCTCTTTCATAATATAAATGCACTTGGATCTCCACCAGCAAAAAACCATAATTCCCATTTAAAATATCCATACACAAAAAAAAAAAAAAAAATCCATACACAAGCAAAGAGGCAGTAATGTTTACTTTAGTTCAAAAAATCTTTTTCCTGTGCTCACCTTATAGGGCCTCCCACCCCATATTATTTTTCAGCATAGAATGGCTCCTTACCAGCTGGTATTTAAGTATTTGGCTACTGGTTTCTAACCAACACACACACACACACACACACACACACACACACACACACACACACACACAGCCTTCTAAGGGCCTGCCTGGCATCCTGTACATATCTAAAAACACTTCCTGATGGAGGGAAAATAATTACTCCAATTCTTTTATCAGCCACACCAAATACAGTGTTACTTATAAATTGTGCTTTAATTTCTGCAATCAGATATGATGCAGTGAGATACAAGTATAAACTTTCATTGTACATCCAGAAAATAAAAAGCACATTTATACAGATTTAGCCCAACAGCTTATTTCTTAAAAAAAAAAAAAAGGTTTCATATGTAATTAAAGCTAACTTATTTTCAGTGTAAAAAACTTGGAGGTATGAACAAACTCAGGACATCATATACACGAAATAAATGTACATTTCCAAACTCGCACAGTGCAACTTTTTAAGTAAATGGTGTTGTTTCAGCTTTTACTGTTAAGCATAATCCACATCTCAAACTTGAATAAAAATGTCACAACATATACTCACTGGAAATTCTAAACACAAATACAAGTTTATAGAAATCTGATTTCAAATATAAATACATAAATTGTCATGACCGACATAGTACAACAGCTTATTTTTCTATTTTAATTTTTAAAAAATCATAGAAAAATATGTCAATGCACATTCAACTGTTATGACATGGGCCATCACCTTGTGCCTTTAAACATCCTCTGTGGAGTGTAAAGCATCACACGGGGCGTTTTTGGAATGAAAATAACTAAGATCCGAAGACTGGAGAGGTTAACGTGAAAACATTCATGTTAATCAGACGGTAACAGAAATAGCTCCATGTGGCGGCAATGCGTGTGGGTGGAACGACTGAGAAACAGTGGCGGTGAGTGCTAGCTTGAGAAAAGCCCGGCAGAGGCCTGCAGGACGTGTGCGCAGGCTGCACAAGAACCAGCGTGTCCGAGAAGTCCCTGCCGCACACCACACAGGCTGACCTTTCTACCAAGACCTTCAAGGCAACCAAAAGAACACGCTTCCGGCCGCGCCTGCAGGAGCCACGCCTCTGTCGGCCTCTGCTGCCTCAACAGACCAACCTGGCTCGCGTGTCTGCAGGGGTGGGCAGGGCAGCAAAGCCCTTTCTCGAAGGCGAGAGATGATTCAGTGCAAAGGAAGATACTCTTCTTTGTCAACAGTTTTAAAATTTCTTATTGTCCTTAGGCAACTGAAAGGTTTTCCTTTTTTTTTTCCTGACAGTTTTTCCAAACATACTCAATCAGCAGCTCTACTAGTGAGCAAAGGTATATAAAAGGCAAATATTCCATATGAAATATCCTAACATGAAATTTTTTCCCCTTCCTTTCGGAGGATTTAACAGGGCTCCACTGAGAATGAAAAAAAAAAAAACAAGACAAAAAACAAAAGAACGGGTTTGTACAAAGTGTACTTTCCTGCGTTTAAAAATATATATCATTTAGACAGCAGATCCAAGAAGGTTCCCAGGCATCGTCAAGTTTCTATGGCTTTTTAAAACGCTGAGGTACTTTTTGATCACTGCCGTTTCTGACGCTTCTGCTGAGCGGCTTCCCTAGGAGGCCGCGCTCAGGAGCGATCCTGACGGGCTGCGCTGTGACGGCGAGCGCCGGGAGCTGCCTCTCAGAGGCACCGCGGGCCCAGCGCGCCACGAGAAAGGCAACACAATTCCTGCCAAACACGGAGAGCTTCCAGAAGAAAGCAGTCACTCTGGGCAAACCGAAGCGGTTCCCCAGCTGAACCAGCAGGCTTAGCAGCACGGTCCTGGGGTTCTGCACAAGGCGGGAGCTTGGAGGGTCGGTGGGGAGTGGCAGAGGGCAGTCAGAGAAGCCAGGCGCTTGGGCAGCGTGGGCTGAAATGCAAGGCGGGTGGCAGGGTAGAACTTCCCCAGTTCTTCTACAGGCAAAAGGACACAGAATGGGCAAACGCTGTGGTTTGTTTACAGGCAAGCCATGTGCCTCGATACCTCTGCTGCACCGTTCAATTCACCAGACACTCGGGTAAGGTGGAACTTTCTCCAGTCTGAGGTGGGTTACAGGGACACTTACTGTTCCCAACGACTGGACAAATTTTCTGGGCACAGACAGGATCTGAAGAATGTACTGAGTCTGAGGATAGCTTCTCAGAGTCTTCTAGTAGTTAACCAGCCCTTGCTGGCTCGATAGAATACGTAGGCATCAGACAACAGCCACAATTCCATCGTGGGTCAAGTAGTAATGCCTGTCAATTAATAATACCAGAGATAAGGTTCTAATTGCATAGTCTTTTGAGACCGTGAGAAGACACCGAGACCAGCTCTTTTCCTGAAGGCCCAGGTTCGCTCTGCCGAGGCCTGTGTGAGTGCCCCCCACCCCAAAGGAAGCTTCAGCGAGATGCCCATCTGCCGATCAGATGCATCTGACTCCCGTCCAGCTCGCCAACAGTCCTCTCACACCCACCCTGAACGGAAAAGTCACACATCTCCTAGATCCACAAACTCATCTTCTCGTTTGGCCAAATCTTCTTCATCTCCCAAAGCTTTCCAACCACTGATGGGCAAGACGGGCTTGGAGGAATGTCGCTGCAGCAACGCGAAGGGAAACAGAGAGGACAGGCGGGTGGAGCTCCGCGGCCCGGAGGGGGCCTCTGCCTGCAGGCGCTGCCGGCTCTGGCGTCTCTCATCGACCTTCTCCTGCAAGCTTTGCACTTCCTCCATCATCTCCAAGAGTTTGCTCATGGTGGCCACTCGGCCTCCACCCAGAATTTGGGCTTCTGGAATCCAACGCAAATAGCGCTGGGCCCACACTCTGATTTCCGGCCCCTCAATGTGAGGCAGCAACAGGCTGTGGTAGTCGGGAGGCTTGCTGTGCCAGCTGTCATAGAACTCCCGAAAATTGTCTTGCAGCTCATCGGAAGAATTAATTAGTTTGCTAATTCTCTTGCCCAGAAGGTTTTTAATCAAATGGTCTGTTTCTTCTCTGAAAAAGCCTCGTTTAGGAGATGATTTAGACTGGGTGAGTGGTAAAGAAAGTTGTCGCTGATGCTTGGAGAGAAAACAAAAATAAAAATCTATTTAGCCAGCAGTTAATTTTCGCCATCAAAAAGGGGCCACAATCCCACTTCAGCAAGGGTCACGAGACACCAGCATCGCCAGGGGAACACATTGGTTAACAAGCTATAACACACAGGGAACACAGCGAGCCCCCCCCCCCCAAAGGCTTATCAGGAAACGGGGAAAAGAGAGGCAACAGGAGAGCTCCCCCCGGGGTTCCGTGAGGCACAAGCCATGTGCAAGCGGCACGCAGACAGAGTGGCTGAGGCGAGGCGGGGGCCCTTCTCCTTTCATCGAGGCAGCAAAGGGCACTACGTACTTTCGAAGAACGAGTTTAAGACAGGCTGATAGGCAGGGGCGGGGGGTGGTGCATATTCACTTGCTGAAGAGAGAAATGTTTCTCCTTTGAGCACTCAGGGTGTTAGTACCGACGATAAGCTGAAAACCTCTGAGGAGAGAGTTCCAACCACCTGAAGATCCCATCCCGTGAGTGAAATAATTTTTTTCATTATTAGGAAGCCAGAGAAAGCTCAGCCCTAAGTTATCAAGATTCCTCTAGATAGGTGGGGGAAAAGGAATTGGATGACCTGGCCAAAATGACCAGATGCTCCTGTCTGACAAGTCGTACAGAGCAGAAAATGTGGGTGTATTTACATTGTTTTCTTCTTCAGTAATTCTAGCTACTGTCAAGTCAAGGTGTAATGTTTTGAGGTGCACTGTGTGTGGGAAAGTGCCAAGAAAAGTTACCAGGAGTGAAGGTGAAAAATGTGAGGAGAAGCTATTTTCCTCCTGAGATGTCCATAAGAAATACGACCATTTTATTTTGGGGCTAGTTTTACAATCCTCAAACATATTTCTGCCACTGGTTCTTCCTTGTTGGAAAAAAAGGACTTTTTGTTATAAAGGAATACTTGTATATTACAGAATATGGGATAACGATAAAAATAGGAAGAAAGGAAAACCATCCACATACTACACCTGGAGAGGACCAGGACTTGTGACTTTTCATCTGGGGACGAGAGAGCAGAAGGGCAGAAGTCAGTGACCAGCCTTCTCCCAGATGACCTAGGTGAGCTGGGAGGCGTGGACTGGGGAGCCAGGTGGGACCTAACAGCAACTGAGGTTTACCTGCCAGGCTCTGCACTCACTGCTTTATATGCATTAACTTCCGCAGTTCTCAAAGCCAGTACTATTGCTGTTTCATAAACGAGGACACTAAGGCACAGAGGTTGAAATCTGCAAAGGCTCGAGCTACCAGGTGCCAAAATACATTACCCAACACAGAGCCTGGCTTCAGAACCTGTGCTTGGAAACTTGTTCTGGGAGCCCCTCCTCTCAAAGCCCTGAGCAGCATATTCAAGACAGGGCAGGTGGGAGGGCCCCTTGCAGCCGTTCACAGAACAGCATTTCCTGCTGGTGGCCGCAGTCTCCTCGAAGCCAACAGTACTCTCCATACGGGGCCCGCGTGACACCTGGTATTCCTTGTTGCCTCAGCCCCAAACTCCTGGTCTGGTCCAAGACTCCCCAACCCCCGGCACACCTCTTACTGGTCAGGTCCTGGAGCCTAGGTCCTCTGCTCCTGTCCCAAGGACAGGGACACATAGGAAAACTGGACCTGGGTACAGGAATGAAATCCAACCTTGCAAGGGGGAGGGAGAGTTTCCTCCCTCGTAAATGAAGAGGCTAAGGCCTTGGCCTCAGCTGGGTCAGCTCTGAGATCAGAGCAGGAGAGGTGTGTGTGCAGCCACCAGGGGGCACAGCACACCAAAGGAAGACAGTCCTCTCGCCAGGCCGTTGGGAATCCAGGGCAGTTCTGGCCCAGCCACCACAAACAGGCTGCACCAGGAGAGGGCCCTCTCTCCCCAGGGCTGAGAACCTCGAAAGGGTTCTGCAAAGTAGCAGATCTCAGTTGTTCGCAAGCTGACAACTGCATGGCAGGCCCTGGCTCACCTGGTGCCCAGGCCTCTTTAAAAGCGGCACCTCCCACACCAGAACCCGCAGGTACGTAAAGGGGAAGGCGGCAATGGGCCATGGCTGGGGGTCTGTCCCACTGCTCTCCCCTTCTGGAGGGCCGTCAGGGAGAAATCCCTGACCAGGAGACTGAGCTAGGGAATAAGTACCCTGTGAGTCATGAATAATCCAGGGAACTCTGCAATTTCAGTCACAATAAAATCAGGAACAAATTCTGAAGGGATGCCCAAATGACAAGACAACTGTGCCTTATAGCACGGTGAGGAGATGACAGCCAGAGGGCCAGGTCTCACCGGGGGCTGTCTTCCTAAATGCCAGGACGCAGTTGTGCCTGCTTCTGCCTAAGACAAAAAAGTGGGCAAGTTGTGTCAGAAGCTGTGTAGATAGACCCTGACAGAAAACTCGAGGAAGAGCTCATGAAGAAAAGTCTGGCTACTGGGCTTTGCTGCGGGAGACAAGGGTTGGCAGGGGTAAACCACGATTGCACGCAGCATCCTCAGCGACATTCAGCTCATAGCTGTGCTGGATCAGGGTGAAGGCAAAAGGAAAGAACGTCTGTGGTTCCTGACAGTCTGCCCATCGCAAGTCTCCACGCTGCAGACTGTTTCCAGAATTTACATCACATTTACCCTTGCAGACATGGGAGCCTCTGGGCACATGAGGGAGCGAGACATGTGAACATCTTACTTTGCAATGCGTTCCTTTCTGCTGGCCTTGGTCCAGTTTTGGCTTTTCCACATAAAGAGGGTTTGTGAACAACATCTGGGCCTTGGGTTCAAACTGTACAGACCAATCCCACACGGTGAGCAGATTCAAGGGCTGGCTTTGTGCATCTTGGCTTTCCCTGCCCTGCCAAGACAAGCAAAGGTCATGCTAGCTTCCAGGGAGGGAGAGGAAGCAAACACACCCTTTTGAAAGGGGCACCAGGGAGGGCGCGCCTGCCCTGCGTGAGACCCCACCTCACTTTTAAAGGCCGCACTGTGAGCGGCTGTTCAGAGTGGGGCGGGCTGTGGGGGCAGTGGGGAATGGACTGTCATTTTCCAGCAAGCCACAAGTCCCGTTTCAGGCGGCGCTTTCACAACAACCTTTTGAGATCGCTATATATATATTTTTTTCTATTTTACAATTTCTCAATTTTTCTAGAGAGGAAACAGGCTCCCAAAATTGAAGTGAACTGCCTGAGGTGAAGAGGCCTAAGAGCGGCATGTCAGATTCCAAAGCCCAGGCCTTGCGCTTGCTGATGCGCCCTGGGTTTTGGCAGTCAGCTGAGCCAACCTTGAGGCCTGCGGAAGGCCGGTCTGAGCCCTGAGACAGGCCACTTCAGCCCCAGCAGCATGGCCTCAAGGGGGACTGAGGCAAGCCTGTGCCTCCCCTGCACTTCAGAGCAATCCAGCACCAGGCAAGTGGGAGAGCGGCTGGCTGCTTTGCCACAGGCCAACTTCACTTTCTTAATGCACAGCTCCAGTATTTACTGGATGGCAAGTTACTTATCCTCTTCGTGCCTCAGCATCTCCAGAGACACAGTAACACAAGCCCCATGGGTGCTATGAGGAATAAACATTAATATTCGGGCCCAGAGTCCTCTCAGTTGACAGAATCGTCTCCTTTATTTAATCTGGTTGCAACGACTTTGTGGATGGGGCTTCTTACTCCATGGGTTCCTGAGAGGGACTCTTACCATGTTAGCATCTTTCTGATGAGGCGAATTGAAGAAGAAGGTGCTAAAAATAGGTATGTACAGGCTATCCGACAAAACGGTCAGATAAGTTTCTGTGAACTCAAATGCTGGGGGGTGCTGGTGCACCAGCTGCCAGACACAATCCAAGAACAGCAGGAATACAGGCACCTGTGTGAAAACAAGACACGCATCACTGGGTGGTGCCAAGCCTGGGGCAGCTTCCTCAAGGGCTGGGCCCCTTCAGAACGGTGTGAGCTCGGGAAACACAGTACCCCTCCCCCTGCTAAGTGCCAACCGCTCCCCCTGAAACCACGCTGGTGGGCAGAACTGGCAGTGCTTAGCCGGGTGCGAAGCATTTCAAAGGTGAAATACATAAAAATCTCACTGTCAATCAGCTCCCTAAAAATTCTATTCTTCAAGAAAAAAAAAGACGGATTCCATTCTTCTGATTAGTAACATTATATTTACAAGATCTATACTCACTCATTTGGAATTTCATTAATACTCTTTTCTTTTCACACAGTGAGAGCCCAGAAGAGAAAGAGGGTGGGTGGGAGCGGCAAAAGCCGTAAAAGAAAGTTTCTAATACTTCTTTCCACACCCGTGTTTTATTTGACCAACGGTCTCTTTTATTAGGCCTCAGAGCAAGCCCCTTTTCACTGGAGTTTTCTAGGTGCTGCCACCCACAAATCAGTTATCCTTCCCGCACGACCAGTGACACTGCGGTGGTAAGACACGCCACAGGGCACTCTCTCCTCGCGGAGACCAGCCGCAGTGTCCCCAGCTCAGAAGAAAGACGTGACCTGGCGATCGAGCTTCTGAGCCAACGTCCAGGGCTCCGTCACTCATAAACACAAGCCAGACCATCCAATTTTCCTTCAAACGCCACTGCTGGTGCTGAGATGCCATGGGGTGGTTATAAAGCCATGTTACCTTACACCTCATTTTATGCCCAGTGCCCCCAAGCAGAATGGAAACTACTGGACCTCACCTTGCAGTCATGAAGTGACTCAGAGCACGGGGTGACTTCCCTAAGGCTGGGTGAACACCAGCTCTTCGGTACGACTCTGTTCCCATTAGGTTCCGTGCCTATCAGTCCCCCTTTTCTAAAGATACAGATGACCCCCAACTTACAATGGTTCAAGTTGTATTTTTGACTTTGGGGTGTGAAAGAGCTCTGCATTCACTAGAAACTATGTCATATTTTGATTCTGCTGTCTCCTGAGGCTAGCCCTGTGCAGTGATGGGCAGATCGCCAGCACCGGCTGCAGGTCGCCGTCTCTGGCTGTGGGCCGCAGCTCCCGGTGGTCACGCAATCATGAGGGCAACAACCGATCTCTACAAACTGTTCTTCACTTTCAGTATAGAGCATTACATGAACTACTTTACACTTTGTTATAAAATAGGCCTGTGTCAGAGGATACTGCTGACAGTGTTCTGAGTGCGGTTAAGGTGGGCAAGGCTGAGCTCTGGAGGCTCAGTAGGTCAGCAGACCACACGCAGTTTTACGGTCAACGCACAGGGGATCTCGCTGGATGTAACCATCGTAAGTGAAGGAAGATGGACACATAGAATCACACTTCCTGACAGACACACTGCCCATTGTGTTATCTGATTCCCACCAACCTTTCATAGTAATTTCTACCACTCCATGACTGTGTCCCATTCAGCTCCATGGGACACAGATGAAGACAAAACAGGCCTGAAAGAAAACTCCAGACCTAGTGGGACAGGCCGGGTCTCCCAGGAACATGCCCAGCCCTGATGGACAAAAGCCACAGCTCTCGACTCCCACAACATGCTGCGTCAAGCTGTTCCACCCCGCAGACAGATAGGCTAAATGTCTGCAGAAGGAAACCCACGAGTCACGCGCTGGCATACGTCAGCTCTGTGGGTGATTTAATTACAGAAAGCTCACCAGTTTTCATTATTCCTTCCACAGTCATTAATCATTCCACCGAAGGCGTCTGTACAGCTGTATTCGGGACAAGTACGTCACAATTTGGGGGGCTCCTTTTCAGTAACTGAGCTATTGCTGCAGTGCTGTCTCCTGCGCTTGAATTCAAGGCCAGTGGGAAAGCCAGGCCAAATGCTAGAAACCGGAGGGAGGGAGGCTGTGTGCGCGTCGCCACACTCAATGGCTCGCGCCGCGCCGGGGAAGGCCAGTGATGATGTCACTCCAGGCTTTGTCTTACATGCAGGGAAGATCAGCTTGGAACCTGAAGATAGGCTTTTTTTTGGGGGGGGGGGGGAGGGGAGGGGGAAAAAACTAATATAGCAGAAATTACAGGAATCTCTCTCCTAAGTTCATTTTTTTAAAAGTCACAAATCCCTATTACTGCCACATAAATATGCATATACTCCTGGCCCACAAATTTAGAGAATATTCTGAACATGCTTGTTAACATCCCTTTCCTCTGGGAAGGGTTTCAACACTGAGTCCTCCAGCAGTGAGCTGACACAGCTTCCTGAGGAGCCCGGATGCAGAGTACTTTGTAAGTACTCTGAAAGCCCGGGATGCGAGCTTCTCCCCACGGCTGAAAGCAGTCACTCACCTCCTCTTTGTCATTCTGACGCAGATGGTTACAGCGATCCAGGAAACAGTGCCCACCCATGATCCACTCCTTCTGGATGAGGCTCTGGAAACCGAACCTGGTTCTGCAGTGGGGATCCATCATCACTTGCACCAGAGAGGAAAGCAGGCAGCAGAGGTCGGACGCGTTCTCCTCTAGAAGGGGCCCCGGCAGCAGTGCAGAGAGAAAGGAAGGTGCGAGATGTTAAAAGAAGCAGAGCACATGCTCACTCACACAGTTAACAGCAGGCTGCCCAGCACCACAGTCTGTCACTCACAATCTGTTCTAACTCCCTAAAGTCAAGAGCCACTGGGAAAAACAGGTAATGCTTTCAGACGGAGCCAAAGTGATGTTAGCCTGTCTAGTATGGGCTCTGCATAACCGCTACTACCCGGGGCCTGCTTACGAAGTGCGTGAGCACAGCGCGACGACGGCCCTCCAGCGCGGGGCGGTCCATTCCCTTGAGAAGTTTAACAATTCTGGGGCGCACCAAGCGTGTGCAGAGCCCCACACACCACATGCTCTTCTGCGCTCTGCAGACCAAGTGCACAACTCTCCGAGCTGGCGTGTGTAAGTCACCATCACTGAACTCACTGTTCTGAGCTCCGCTGCTTCTCAGACTCACCCTAGGGCTCCTTCCTCCACCTCAACAACCCCATTCCCTCTGGAGAAGTTTAATACTTCTGGAGTACACCAAAGTGCTCTTTCTTGTTCTCGGCTCTGCACCTCTGCCCGCTTCTGTCAAGGACACAGACGTGTCTCTTCTCCCCGCCTGGCTTAGAAGACGCTCTCTTCCGAGGGTGCGGCCCGAATCCCGCACCGTGACAATTCCACGCACATGCTGCCTGGCCTTCGTGATGGCGAACAGGTGAACACGCACGTCCACAATCATGCATGTTGCCTTTAAGAGCCTAAAAACCAGAGTCTACATCCCTGTGGTTTCTTCTTTACAAAAAGAAGAGCAATTCAAATTGTTTTTCAAAATGCCCATGAGGATGCTGGCGCTGGTGTAACGGGCTTAGGAAACTTCCACACACATGCTGGAGGTGTGCGCACCACCAGCACTCTCATCCCGGCCTGGAACCATGAGCATGGCAGGTCCAGGCTTATACTTGTGCTCTTTTTTCTCCTCCATGAAACAAGCCTAAAATACTGACCAGAGGAGTTCAAAGGATTTTTGTTTTTGTCTTTCAAGCTATCACTTTCAAATCAAGTTTCATTTCTAAAAAGAATCTTACTTGTTGCACCTGAAGGATGTTAACAGTATACCTGTACGCAATAATAGCAAGAGGGCTAGAAAATGAGATTTTAGACTAGACACGACTCAGTAGTTGAGCTAGGAGCAGAGACAGCTCAGTCACATCAGCCGAGACTCAAATTTCATTTCTGGCACCTCTGCCCTGGGTAAGTCTGCCCGGGGTAAGTCACCGCTCACGGCCCAACGCTTCCCCTCCCTTTTCACCAGCACTCAGGACTTTGCTCTGTCTTAATCTTTTCAATAAGACGGTTACGGCAATTGACTCATTGGGCTGTAAACTTCCAGAAGGCAGGAGGAGAGCGCTCTGAGCACAGTCGGTGCTCAACAAATGCATGAAAATCTCAGTTACATCGAGAGCAGCAGGCAGGCACATTTCCCATCTGCCTGGAGCAGCAGAATTCAGCAGTCATGGAGCGCACCAGAGAATGATAAAAGCCGGAGCCTACGTATGAGAGCATGAGACGATCTACTTAATCTGAAGTAGAGGGCTACAAGGAACTTAACATATTCTAACAAAGGGCAAACAGTATTTAGTTCAGATCTACCCAAGCCAGCAACACCCTCCGTTGCCAGATGGCTCACACTTGCTGTTGCACATCCTTTTCGGTTCATGCGCTGTCTGCCTGGGCAGCAGGTTAGCCCAGTAAGGAAAAGGAAATCATAGCCCACATAGTTTCTATGGCAACAGCTCAAGGTTGTCAAACACAAGGAAAAGTAACAATTAAACCATCCTTGGGCTTCTTTCTATAAAAGGAATTATCAAAAAATTTTTAACTTAAACCAAGTTAAGAAAACAGAAAATCCAAACATGAAGAAATGCAAGCTTCAGTAAAGATACCAAGACAATTCCTTCTTGGGCTGCAAACAGGCCTGCCAAGTTGTAAGGGAAAGAATTTATTTTTAAACTTTAACAATGGAAGCCATGTAAAACATTACAAGATTAGGGTAGAAAGGAAAGGCATGGATTTCTATACTTGCTCACTCTTCTATAACACAAGCTCAATTACACAGAGCTGTATATACAGAAACGGAATGTCAAGTGAGGAAAGTGGGAGCCACTTCTGGGGCTTCCAATATATTACCTAAAAGAAGGATGTTGATGTTCTGTGCTTCCAGGCATTCTGTAACCTCTATTGCTTTTTTCAGGCAACGTCTAAATCAGAGAGATGAGAAAAAGGAACATTAGCTGTTGAGTTTGGTAACATGAATATCAAGACATAGTCTGGCTAGGATTTCAGTTTTCATTCTCAGTTATATATTTCACACTAAAATCCTCTAGAAAAGAAACACATTACCACTTATACTATCTGGCTATTGGAAGACACTCATCTGCCTATTAAACATTTAAGGTACTCTACAAGGGAACTCCAACATTGATGTAAAAACGCCCACAGGTGACTCTAAACTAGAGATTCTTAGTGAGAACCCACACCTGAGTCTGCTGGTGACCCCTGGTAAGACGTGTTAAAACCTCCAGATGTGCGACCTGTCCACATGGATTGTTCCAGCCCTTGCCAAATGTATCAATGTGGCTAAAAAGAACCCAAATACACTTCCCCCAGGACTATCGCCAGTACTTGGGGCTGGACTCTGCCGCTGCTACTCTGCCTGAGCAGCGCCTGCCCGCCTGCCTGGTCGGGGACCCTCCGCCTCTGCCCACCGCCCAGAGAAAAGATGAGAGACTTCTCTTTTGTAACACTTATCACACTGCCAAATATGTATTCAGCAAATGGGACAAGTGATCAGCTTGTCCAGCCCTCCTGCGTGCAGGGCTGGGAGGGCCGAGGCCCGCGTACCAACTCACGGGCAGAGCTGAGAGGGTTGTGTGCTGGCCAGAGGAGGAGTCTGCCCTTCCTCCAGCTCTCTCCCCCTGAGCACTGCTGCTGCCCCCGCCGCTCTCTGCCCTCCCCCTCAGTTAGACAACAGAGAGGAGCCCCCTTCAAAATAGAAAGTAGGGAAGAGAACAGAATTCTGTTCTTTGGAAATCACCACTTAATTCCAAAACCCAAGATGACTAATTGACATTAACCATGATTTTTAAAAATGTCCCATTTCCCATCGTCCTCCGGTGCCTCGTCTGCAGTCTGGAGAGTAAGTCTCTCTGGGAACAGGTAGCATGTCTGTAAATTCTGATCAAAGGTGCACAGGAACGATAACAAACAAAAAATCCCGCGGGACCCTGAACAGAATATCTGACCTAAGACTATTTATCTATGAAACATACATCAGCTAAGTATTTGTCAAACCGCTATAAAGTTCATGAGCAGAACAATGGTTAAAAATACCTGATTATGTCAAGCCAACTGCTACTTTCCAACAGAGAAAACCATTTTATATCTGTGTCCCAAAATTCGGTACTGTTGTCTGCAACACAAAGAAAGAGGAGAGAAGTCAGGTCACTCTCGCTGACAAATGCCTGCCATGGGCAAACCGTGATTCAGCCCGGCCGTTCGCACCAACAGCCTCAGACCTAAGCTGCGACTTGAGGCACGTGGGTTCATTTCAAGTGGGTTCATTTCATTTCACTTCAAAACTTCGCCTGAAATGGGTTTTGAGCTGTGCACCCCCGGGAGGTGCTGCAGTCAGAAACAGATACATCTCGCTCAAGTGAAAAATGCGTCACCACAGGACACAAAACTCAGGCCCCCCCCCCCCAAAGGCAGGGAGAGAGAGGCGTCTCAGCAGGAGGGCTGGCATCCAGGCTGTGCTCCTAGAAAGGAGAAGGCCACGGGACATTTCTTATGTGAGAGAGGCTGGAGGGGAGGGGAGGGCTGGCTCCCTGGGAGTCCTACCGACACAAACACATTTGTCTTTACACACCCCTACACCGGGCCCCCACCCCCCTCTGCTTTCTACAGAGATCTAATACATTTCAAAGTTGCACCTGCAACCCTAGGTACTGGCAGCAATAGAGTAAAACCAAATCCTGTGTTAGGTAGCGAAAGGCTTCCTCTGTCCACCAGGTCTCTGCTTTGTGAGTCTCTTTTGTAACACATCACAGTGTGTTTAGGTAGAGGCGTACACTGCTTCCCCTGATGTCATACTGGTCTTTATTTCTGGTGCCTACCATAGTGCAGATAATGGAAATTCATTCACTGTTAGCTGAATGAATGAATGAGTCTTAATTAAAAGAATTATTCTTTGCCCAGCCGGAGTCCAAGTTTGGAAAGCTTACCTGTAAGTGTGACAGGTCTCGGGGGGCTAAAGAGAGGTTCAGGGATGGGGGCTCCCTAGTGGCCTAGGGGTTAATGCTCAGCACTATCACTGCTGCAGCCTGGGTTTGATCCCCGGCCAGGGAGGTGACCCACACACAGCACTGCAGACCTCTCTGTCCCGCCCGCTGCTCCCCTCAGCAGTGTATTTCAGTCAGTCTGCCTGTTCTGCCCCCACTGTCTCTGGTGGATCTTTTTAACCACCCCCCCATATCTCTGGTCTGTACCCCAGTTCTACATAAAAAAAATTAAAAAGAAAAAGGGATAACGGTCTATGAAAGTAGTTTTAAAAGGAGAATGAAGAGAGTTAACAGGTGACTGGGCTTGATCAAACATGATTCAAGTTCTAAGCTGCTCAGAGAGCCCGGCCTGGGTGGGGACAAGGGGTGGCCGGGCTGCTGGCCTACTTCATTTCCCACCGTCTACATTTCTGAGTAATTGAAAATTTTTACATTGAAAAAAATATGCATGTACTTAATAGAAGGAAAATGAAAGTAAAATGCTTTCAGTAAGCCACTGAGGAAGCAAGCCGGTCACTGTTTTATGTCACTGCAGATCGTAACTACAGGCATTGCTGCCCACAGCGCTGGCCGTTAAGGAAGGCAGACGCCTCAGGCTCACCAGCGGACCGAGGTGCGGGGAGAGGAGAGAAGCAGCAGTGAGAAGGAGCAGCGGGGGCTGGGGCGGGGCGGTGACGGCAGCCGCCCCTCGGCCAGCAGCCTGCCACTGCGGTGACCTGCCGGAGTAAATCTCCAGCAGCTAGCACAAGGAAGCCAGGGAAACTGTCACCTGATCCCTGTGGCCTGTCTTTCCCCATGGGACAGAAAGCTTTGCTCAGCATTCTCTCACCTATCAGGAAGAGCTGTTTAAATTTAGAGTATGCCGTCTGGATTTCCTGCAGGGATAGGAAGTTGCTTGACAGGTCTTCAGTTTTAACAGTTTCATAGGGTGGCCTGTGAATGGTCTTGTAAATCCTAGGCATCAAAAAGAAACAAGAGATTAGAATCACAGCTGATTTTCCTGAGCACTTGCGGCCAAGGTCTGCGTGAAGAGCTCTGCGGGCGTCCGCTCCTGCGTCCTCACCAGGGAGGTCATGGCCCCTCCGGTCAGCAGCAGGGCGCCTATCTGGCCCATGACAGGAAGTTTGCACGAGCTAGCCAGAGGCAGCCTGAGCCACGACAACCGAACTTTGCTTTTAATTCATACACTTTGGGTTTTTTAACTTTTTTTTTTAACCCTTAAATAAGCAAAAATGTAGAAAACAGCACAGTGGCACAGACAATGATACGGATTGGACACGTGTTAATATCACCAGCCGACTGCTTCACCCTAAATTATTTCAGTTGCAGCTCGAAAAATAACACAGCTGACATTTGTAATAATTATGCGACTTTTGTCAAGGCAGTGAAAAGCGACCACTCTAAACTGTATCCCGAAGTCCTCAAGATCATCGATAAACAGAAATGAGTGGGTTAGTAAGAGCTGTGCCCTGCTTCTTAGAACAGAAGAACTGAGCTAACCAACCACGAATTGTACAATAGTACTGACCCATCCAAGAAGCTCTTTTGGATTTGTAAAGCGCCATCATCCTGTTCTTTGGGCAACGCTGACATTTTCAAAAGGGCACTTCCATTGTGGCAGGACCAACACCATATCTGCAGAGGGGAACAGATTTTTTTCAGACATGATGTACACACCCCCCCAGGACCACGATGCTCAGCATTTAAATTCACATAGGGAATTTTGACGTCAATACAAAATGGCTGGAGAGGTTCAACTTGTAAAGCCAACAAGTGGTTTCCACCTCACAGTGCAAAATATTGATTTAGCCTTTGAAAAAAATGCAGGTCTAGGTAACAGAGCCAGACGGGCTTATCGCTAACACCCGCCTTTAACTCGGCATTAGTACCTGAAAGCCAGTCGCCACAGCATGAGGACAGCGGTCCTCACCCAGCACACTTAGAGCAGGCGTCTGGCCTGAGCTCACTCCGTAATTCTCACGGTGACTCCAGGACTCGTGGGATTTTGCCTCCACTAACAGCTGCTGAGGCTCGGGAAGGCCAGGTATCTTGCACAGACAGCCGACTGTAAAGAGCAGGGTCTCCCTGGCTAGCAGAGCACACGTGAGGACGCAAGGCGGCCACGCTCAGCCCTGACGGGGGCGGCACGGCGCAGGCAGGGCACTGGGCTGGGAGAGCACGCAAGCGAGACAGCTAAGCTAGTGAGTGTCTCAGCCAGGTGTCCATCCCTCAAAGGGAAGTCAGGCTGCAGATGCTAGAGATAAGGCAGGGTGTGGTCAACGGCAGAAGAGAACTTCAAGAACAACAAAAGGAGGACCGAGGTAGAAGAAATGTAAGTGACCGTAAGTGAGAAGCTCACGTGCTTAGGAGTTTTTCCTAGATACAGTGGGAGCTTTTTGTGTTAACTGTTTTACAGGAACAAAAGGCGATTCCAACTGAGGCAACACTAGGGGCATAATCATCTCCAGGACAGCATGAACTGGAGGGGCAGGGAAGGCTGGCTGCAGCAGATGGGTACTCTTGTGGACTCTGGGCACCACAGATAGTCCTGGCCAGCGGTCGGAGAGTGGTTGAAGTCCAACCCTTGTTCTGCAGGTCAAGCTGGGGAACAGATTACAAACTTGCCTTTGTCAACCCAGCTGCCCAGAGGGGGTGCCTTCTTGCATGCACCTGCAGTGTCTACACCGCACACGGGCTATGCAGCCACAGCCCGGGCCCAGAGTCAGCGACAGGCACACAACCCTGTGTGTGCCAGGCTCTGCACTCAGGAATGGAAAGAACTGGTGGGCGTCTCAGGGGAAGAAGGTGGAATCAGTGTTGGGTGTGCAGGGAGTCTCGTGCCAACAGGGCATTCATGTGGAGATATTTAGGAGACACCTCTGACTAGGGTTACAGGCTTAGGAGAGGAAGGCAGGACTGCAGCTCTGGACACGAATGCTGAGGGAGAAGAGAGAATAAATCCAGCAGGGAGCCAGGACCAAAGCCCCAGATCTGCTTTAGGAACTGCCCAAAAGAAAACTCCCTTCTCACCGCCAGGCTATACTTGGATTTCGTGAGATTCACGAGGAGGCAGAAATGCCGGCACAGGGAGACAAATCCATGGCCCCTCAGTCCCTTTCCCAACATCACACTGAAGAGTGTGCAGAAAAACACCAGCCCTGAGCCCTATCGATCAGGCATAGGTTCACTACAAGGGCCACACTCGATACCTGCCCAGCCTGCAAGGCTTCTGTGCAGGTGACCCCTGCTTGAACATCTCACCTCCCATCCTTCTGCTGAACCAGTCATGTGCACAGCACAGCATTTATCTGTAATTCTCATTTCTTACTAAATTCCCCACAGGCTTGGTAACTCCCAGGCACTTCAATTAGAAACTGAAGAAGCTGCCAGAGTCCTGCTTCTCTTTGATCAGTGACACATCAAATATGGTTCCCATCCCACGCTATTCTTTGAAAATTAACTAAGCTCTCCATGTTGTCTCTGGGAGAAATCATGGCCACGCCCATTCAAAGATTACTAGTGGGGCCAAGAAGAACCGTAAACCCACGACTTAAACCCAAATTGTCAACTCATCGGGACAACTTTTTAGTCTCTGGTTCCTAACAGCAGGCAAATCTGTAATCCTCTTAAAGCTGTCTTAAGATGTCTCTGCTAAAAGCCCTAGTGCATCTGTGAAAACTCTAGAACTCTGTCCCAAGTGGGGGGAGCCTCAGAGACTTCTCTAGGGAGTCTCTAAGATATTTCTGGATCACTCTTGGACTAAGGACAAAGCCAAGCGCTGCAAGCTGAATAATCTGTCAGGACGGGCTGCTGATCGGCCACGGCTGCTGGGGTTTGCACATACTTACTGGTATGCCGTGACCCTGAAAGCGTGGCACGTCTTCTTCAGGGAGAGGGCTGGGGACCACAAAGTGCGCTGGCAACCTAGAAGACAGAGATGTCCCGGGTTTCAGCACTGGCCTAAAGCCACTAACTATGTGAGTGTGCTTGCGAAGGGCACAGAGGCTGAGCAGAGGGGTTCGACAAGGACCTGTTTCCCTGCTAAGCACCAGCACAGGCGAATTTGTCTCCAGCCACATCAGCTGGGAATCTGAGTTTCAAATCAGGTTTGCCTCTGCCTCTCCTGAACCCGAGGCAAGTCACCCCACTTGTCTGAGTCTGTTCCCTCATCCACAAGATAATGCAACAGAATATATGACATCTAGAGTATATGAATTCTAAATCTGAGAATGACCTTTCTCATGATACAGTGACAATATAAGCAACTACGCTTCTTTCCGTCAGGCTAACTTGAAAACCAGTAACAAGATGACATTTTATCAAAGGGCCTGTGCTCACTGTATGCCAGACTGTTCCAATTACTTACCATAAGTTATACACCATTGGGTGGCTCATCTAGTCACCCCAATAGCCCAGGCAGGCAGCTGCCATAGTGGTCTAGGTAAGCAGCAAGAAGCTGCGTCACCCGTGGGACAGAAAAGCAAAGCCAGGCATCCCAGGGGAGCATCTGTATGTACTGTGCATTCACAGCGCCAAAACCCTGCTGAAGCCCCACCCTCCCCACTGACCACTAATGAAAAGTCCATTCCCCCCACCCAACTATCCCAGTTGTATTTCTGATGTGCTGATATCCATGCAAACACCCATGAATTTAAAACCAGCATGTGGCAGCAGTTTTCAGAAACAATTCTGGGAAGGGGGGTGAGCTTGCCAACTATCACCTCCCAGGAGCCTGGGCTTCTAACCTTTTTCTGAGCATGAACTAACTTCCCCTTTTCCAGGTCTGTGACTGGGAAAGGGAGTGGGGGGCAGGCTGGGAACACAGCCTCTCACAACTCTTGTTCTGCAGGGCCTATTTTACTGTTAGTCCAGCTCATGCTAACTTTGTAAGTTTGGATGAGTCAAAATCAAACCTAATGTGCTGAAGAGGCAAATTAGAACTATGAATATAAAATGCTCTACAAAAATATAGCTTTCATGAAGCTGTTAGCAGGGTGCTGGGGAGCATGTCCTAAAGGGGTAAGACCGAAGTTTCTAAAAGAGGATTATGCAGAGTCATCCTTTAAAAATGTAGGTCGGGGCCCTCCCTGGTGG